GGGGCTCAGGCCTCGCAGCCGCCACGGCCAGCAGTGCCAGCACCAGTGGAGTGATGGGGGCGGCACCTTCCCCTGATCAGCCGGGTCGCCTCCCAGAGAGGGAGGCCAGACTGTGGCTTAGGCCCGCTCTCCATGGGGAGCGGGCCTAAGCCGTCAGTGGGACATCCCCTGAGTGCTCCTGGACTGTGAGAGGAGGCAGGCTGGGCTGAGAGAGCTCCCCCACCCCCAGTGCATGAATTTTTGTGCACTGGGCCTCTAGATAATAATAATATAATAAACTGTTTCTCATACTCAGAACTATAAACCTACTTTTGCCCACCCCTGAATATTATCTATAATAATAATAATAATAATAATAATATTACTACTGCCCATGCCCTTGGCTATGTGCAGGCCAGATTTATGAAACCCCTGATTATACTGATTTTGCTTTCTATGCCCTCCTCTTGGTTTCCATTCAGATTGTATCAGTGTCCAGCCCTGGATGGCAGATCTGGTCATTGGCAAGGCCTTGTCCCACAGGCAGTGACCTTGAGCAGAGCTGGGCTTGAGGTTGTCTTCCAAACAAATGGGGGCTGGCCTGGAATGTCTTTTTAACTCAATGAATCATATCTGAAAGCCACTGAAAGAGCAGACAAGCCAGATGAGCTGGGCCCCTTGCTTTCTGCAGCCAATGGGGCTCCCTCTGCATCTCCAGGTTCTTCCTGATGCCTGCCCAGGGGCCACATACACAGGTCTGAATGTGGAGGGTTGAAACTCAAACTTGTTTTGTTCACATTTGATGTATAAAGATCTCTATAGACTGTTTCAGGCTAAAGTTAAATTAATTCTGCATTAATGGGTTGGATGACAGGAGGCGTGTCACTAAAGCTCTCTGAGCCTCATTTCCCTGGATAAAATGGGGGGCTAGGCTGGTGACCATGATAGGGTCTCACTCTAACATCTTACTGTGCTCAACAATTTGGGGACAGTTGTGTTTCTTCTTTGAATTCTTTATTCAAGTCCTTGCCCTTTTTCTCCTTTATAGGATTGTTTGTTCTGACATGTAAAACTTATCATCATTGTATGCAAACGTTTTATGTATATTGTGTCCTTAATATTGTGTCATTAATATTGCAAATATTTCCCCCCAGTCTTGTTTCAATGGTTGTTTCTGTGAGAATAAGGAGACACCCCCCCACCCGACTCCATGAAGATATTTTAACTTAAAAAAAAAGAAAAGCCCAAACTGACAATCTTTTCCTCAAGGTATCTGCTTAAAAAGAGCTTCCTTATTCCTAGATTACAAAAATATGCACTCAGTTTATCTTCTGGAAATTTAATAAATTCATTATTTTATTTTACAATTTTAGACCTTTTAAAATGTATTTTATATAAGGAGTGAGATATTTTTTATTTTTTCTTTATTTTTCTTTTTCAAATAGGTGCCCCATTTATTGAACAATCTATCCTTTTTACACAGATTTGAAATATATTATCTTTATGACTTTTTAAAAAATCATGTTATCTGACCTAGCCGGCTTGGCTCAGTGGATAGCGCGTCAGCCTTCGGACCGATGGGTCCCAGGTTCGATTCCGGCCAAGGGCACATGCCTGGGTTGCGGGCTCGATCCCCAGTAGGGGGTGTGCAGGAGGCAGCCAATCAATGATTCTCTCTCATCATTGATGTTTCTATCTCTCTCTCCTTCTCCCTTCCTCTCTGAAATCAATAAAGAAATATATTTTTTAAAAAAGTCATGTTATCCTATATAATAAAAGGCTAATATGCAAATAGACCAGATGGCGGAACAGGAACAACTGAACAACCGAACAATCAGTCGCTATGACGTGCACTGACCACCACGGGACGTGTGCGGAACATGGCGGGCATTGGCCGCGGCAGGATGGTGGAGCAGGTGAGCGCCAGACCAAGGCAGACCAAGGCAGGGTGCCGGTCGCTGTCATCAGGGTGAGCCTCTGGTGGTTACTGAAAATTCTTTGCTCCTGTGCACCACAGTCCCACCCAGCACTTGCACCTGCTGCCAGTGCTGGCCCCGCTCGCACCCGCAGCTGGCACCGGAGCCGCCAGTCACACCTGCTGCCGGTGTCTGGTGCCGGTCCTGATCACTTGACGCCATCAGCGGGTGTGAGTGGCAGCTGCCAGCCCTGATTGCCCCTGAGGGATTCTCCACCTCCCCCTGCTCCTGAAGGGCAATTGGGGCAGCAGCCACTGCTCGCACCTGCTGATGGCACTGGCCCCACTCGCACCTACTGCTGGTGCCAGCCTCAATTGCTCCACACCATCAGTGGGTACGAGTGGGGCCGGTGCTGCCAGCGCAAGGGAGTGGCGGCAGCAGGAGCGGGGCTGCTGCAGATAGGGGACTGGGGGCCGCGGCGGGAGGGGCTGGGCAGGGTCCTGGAGGATGGGCTGAAGCCTGCCCCTATGCCTACCACAGCCTTGTGGCCCACAGTTCCTTTCAAGGTGCACAAATTCATGCACTGGGCCCCTAGTCTATATATATAAAAACCTAAGTGACCAGTCAATGGCTCAACCGGTCGCTATGATGTGCACTGACCACCAGGGGGCAGACGTTCAATGCAGGAGCTGCCCCCTCGTGGTCAGTGCACTCCCACAGCGGGAGCGCTGCTCAGCTGACCAATGGGCGCCAGATGCCGGGCTCATGGCTCTTGAGTGCAGCTGCAGCGGTGCGAGCCTCTCCCACAGACATTCCTCCTGGGCACCCTTCCCCCATTCGGACCGGGCCCAAGATCGGGATCAGCATCGGGACTGACTGGGCGTGAGCCCGCGGCCACGTCTCTGTCATGGATGTGCCGGTATCACCCTAGGATGGGTGTGTGGAGACTGCCAGGGAGCGGTGGCAGCAGTAGGCGCAGCGGGGCCGGGATGAGCAGGAGCGGCGCTGCACCTGGCTCAGGCTCCTTCCTGGGTGCCTTCCACTTCGCGCACTACTACATCCCTCGGGGGATGTTGGATGCTGGTTTCAGCCCGATCCCCGCAGGCCACACCTAGGGACCCCACCAGAGCCCGAATCCATGCACTAGGCTTCTAGTATACTTACAATAGTAAAAGCTATTGTCAGTTCTATTATGGCATATTTTAACTGTTGTACTAATGGAATTATTATTTTTATTTATTTATATTTTAAAACCATAGCAACAATATTTACTTCCAACCTCACTACCACCACTTTCATGCATTTAAAAATTTACCATAAATGGTCATTATCATGACTGTCAACATATAAAACTGTCAGAAGACTTTCCTTTTCTATCATTGTAATTAGTAGAGTTAATCATAGCAATTAGTAAAGAACTCAGTTTGTATGATTTTGGGGAAAGTAGGGCTAGGACCTAGGGAGATTATTTCCTGTGCAAAACTGGAAAGTTAGAGATAATTTCCCCCCAGGGTGCCCCCTCCCTACTCCAAGTATCCACTGTCCTTTCCTCTCTACCTCACTTCATCTCTTAGAATCCACTGTCAAGTCTTCATTCACACTGAGGTGTTGATGACTGGTTACTGCCCAACACAGCTATTTTCCTTAGAGTGTGAGGTATGTGGAAATTAACTTATTACTAATAATAGAGTACTAAAGTTTGAAATACTTTACTTTTTAATAAGTCTGAGTTGACTCAATGTTTCCCCTGAAATAAATTCACCTGATCTATCTTACTTCTTTTGTGGGAGAAGAAAAATGTGTGCTGGTAATTATCTGTGACCTCTTTGTCACACCCATGGGGATATAATGATGTGCCATTAATAGCTGAGGCCACTTCAGATTGCCCTGGGAGGGAGTTGAGCTTAAATGTCTGCTTTCATT